GGGAATACATGTAAATCCATGGCTGATTCATGTCAATGTATGGCAAAAACCACTACAATGTTGTAAAGTAATTAGCCTCCAACTAATAAAAAATAAATGGAAAAAAAAAGAATAAAGTAATTACATGCAAAAAAAAAACAAAATGAAAAAAATAAAATAAAATAAAATGTTGTTCATTGAGTATATTTTAACCTATAATTGAAATTTACTATTTATTCAGCAAAGATGTATAATAGGTTAATTTTTTCCCTAAGAGTAAGCCTAAGTCCTTTAATCAAAATACAATTCATGTACATGGAGTAGACACTCAGAAAACATTAGGTGATCTGAGAAGGCAATGCACCAAAAATTTTAAAGCAAAGAGGGATACCTACCCCTGAATTTTGACATTGGCCTCTAAATATTGTTCTGTGTTGTACCTAACAGTATGAAGTTTTAGGATAGGACACAGAAACATGAATTAAACTCTGAAGAAAATTTTCTTGAAGAATTTAAAGAAAATTTATTTAAGAATTTTAAAATAGCAGTCAGTGTATACAATAGACTACAAAAATTAAATATCTTACATCCAAAATACTATTAAGTTTAACACTTTATTTCTTAACAATTTCATTACCTCTTTTAAGACAAATGGCTAAAAGTTAAGCCTTATATAAGTTCAAAGAATTGGATACCAACTAATCATAAATCATTTATGTTGTAACTTTATTTTCTATTACATCAACATATTTTTCAGAGTTCATTGATGACCCACTTTAGAGTTTATGAAGCACAGCACCAGCATATGCTTAGAACTTAAGATTACTGCAAGAGAAGATGTGATCACAGTTTCAGAGGTGAGTTGTAATCCATTTTCTTTTGTAATATTTATCCTTCTTTTGCTACCGGCTATAACTTCCTGTTCTCCCAAAGTCTTTGGCGATGACATTTTATCTCTTCATCTCTTCAAGTGTGGCAAGTTTGTATTCAACTCTACATGAAATTAAAATGTGTCACCCTTCTCCTACAGGCATCTTCTATTGCTTTTATAAATGTGTACATTTCTGTCATGAATAGGTGGGCACTAGTTCATCCTTGAATAGATGGTATTGATTCACTAAACCCTAAAGATTTTTGACCTTTTTAAAAAGTGATTCCCACTGCACAAGATATTTTACAAAGTGACAAGGACTTTTATGCATTGAGATTAAATCAGTACCACTTAAATTGAGCATATTTCCTAGGGAGATTGACTACATGGCATTCAAAAATTGTGTTATTTTAAATAAGGGGTATTTTGAACAGTTTCAGTTGTGCTTTTTCTGAAATGGGAAATAGTGCAAAAAAAATAAAACTCCATGCCATTAACTGAATCTAAAATCAGCAAAGGGATTAATAAGTTGATATTGATATAAATTAGCTGTGAAGCTAAAGAACGCCTTTGGGTATGAAAGAAGGATTAAACCAGAAAGTAATTAGGCAACGAATGATCCAAATTCCTATGTAGAATTGAAACTTGAAAGTCTGTGTGGCTGAGAGTCAAGCAGACCTGAGTTCTATTCCTCCCTCTGTTCCCTGGTGAAATTTACCTGGCTTCCAAGTGTGCCCTGTCTCCTCAAATAAAAAACGTGGGTTCAATTAGATGATGGAGAGGGTCTTCTCTCCATCTGACCATCTGTGATTAACCAAGTCCACGTGTCATTCAGTAATAACCTCTGGTGCAAGCAAATTAATTTCAACAAAACTTTTACACTCATTAATTCAAGAAATATAAACCAAGTATTATGTTAAAAATGTTGTAATAGACATTTGAAATGCAAAGTTTGAGAAAGGAAATTTGAGTTTAACGTATCTGTACATCATCCTGGTGGAGGTGTCTGAAGACCTATGGAAATGCAGTTACAGAATTTAAGAGAAAGTTTGAATCTTTCCAACCTTTGGATTTGTGAGTGACCAGCATGTATTAACACATCTCTTTTGCATTCCAAATACTTTAAACAATATGAATAGTTAGTAGTATGGTAAGCATCAAGGGTCACATTTAGTGAAGTAACTCAAAGACCAAGGTCTCTTAAAGCTACAGAACCTGGTAGCATACAGCATTACTGTTAATTCTTCTTTCTCAAGTACAAATGCCCTTTATTTTCCACCTTCCTATATTTTCCATACCTATCTTTATGTCTCTCATTTAAAAATGCCTTACATTTATTCAAATGACTTTTCAAGAGTGTATGTATTTCAAACAGAAACTGTTATTTTAGTAACTACAGGTGTTATCTGACGACAGTTGAATGTCAGGCATCCGTGATAAGCTCTTGGAGGGCTATTTCTGTGAGAAGGGTATGACCAAGGCCTTAAAATTATATCATTCAGGTGAACATAAACTATGTCACTGTGAAGAGCATTCTTGAGTTTGCATTTGCAAGCCATAGTAAATCATGCCATTCTTGTGATCAACCTGGTACCCTCCTACTTACTTCCACTTTTAACACTGACATGCACAGTCAAATCACATTGAAAAGGTCTAAATTAGGAAAAAGGAAAACTGTCTCTATTTGCAGATAATGTGATAGTATATGTAAAAAGTCCTAAAGACTCCAGACACAAAATGTTAAAACCAATAAACAAATTCAGTAAAGTTGAAAGATACAAAATATCTGACGACAGTTGAATGTCAGGCATCCGTGATAAGCTCTTGGAGGGCTATTTCTGTGAGAGGGGTATGACCAAGGCCTTAAAATTATATCATTCAGGTGAACATAAACTATGTCACTGTGAAGAGCATTCTTGAGTTTGCATTTGCAAGCCATAGTAAATCATGCCATTCTTGTGATCAACCTGGTACCCTCCTACTTACTTCCACTTTTAACACTGACATGCACAGTCAAATCACATTGAAAAGGTCTAAATTAGGAAAAAGGAAAACTGTCTCTATTTGCAGATAATGTGATAGTATATGTAAAAAGTCCTAAAGACTCCAGACACAAAATGTTAAAACCAATAAACAAATTCAGTAAAGTTGAAAGATACAAAGTCAATATACAAAAATAAGTTGCACTTTTGTATACTGTTAATGAACCATCTAAAAAAGAAATAGAAAAACAATCCCATTTACAACAGTATCGTAAAAAATAAAATACTTAGGAATAAACTTAACCAAGGAGGTGAAATGTCTGTATACTGAAAACTGTATGACACTGATAAAAGAACTTGAAAAACACCCAAATAAATGGAAAGATATTCCATGTCCCAGGATCAGAAAAAGTAAACATTTTAAATATCTATATTTCCCAAAACTATAGATTCAATTCAATCTCTACAAAAAATTTAATAACCTTGTTCCTAGAAATAGAAAAACAATCCTAAAATCCATCCATAACCATAAAAGTCCCAATAGCCAAAGAAATCTTCAGAAAGCACAAAGGTAGTATCATTATATTGCCTGATTTTAAACTATATTATGAAACTGTAATAGTTAAAACAGCATGATGTTGGCATTAAAAACAGGCATAGACAAAAATGGACTTGGGCAAAATAAATCAATGGGATAAAATCAAGAGCCCATATATAAACCCACACAAATACAATCAAGTAATATTTAACAAGGAAGCCAAGGATACTCAATGGGAAAAGGATGGTGTCTTCAATAAATGATATTGAAAGGGTGGGGGCATTTGGGATTGACATGTACACACTGCTGTATTTAAAATGAATAACCAACAAGGACCTACTATATAGCACAGGAAACTGTGCTCAATATTATGCAACAACCTAAGTGGGAAAACAATCTGACAAAGAATAGATACGTATATATGTATAACTGAATCACTTTGCTCTACACCTAAAACTATCACAACATTGTTAACCAACTATATTCCAATAGTTTTTTTAAACTTTTAAAAAAGGGGCAGAAGAACTGGACATTTTTCCAAAGAAGACATACAACTTGCCAGTAGGTACATGAAAGGTGCCCAACATCATAATGATCTGAGAAATGCAAATCAAAACCACAGTGAGGAATGCCCCCACACCTATGAGGATGGTTTTATCAAAACCAAAAAAGAAAAAAGAAAAGCAGGTTTTAGCAAGGTTGGAAAGGAAAGGGAACCCTCATTCATTGTTACTAGGAAAGTAAATTGTTTTAGCCATTATAGAAAATAGTATAGAAATTATTCAAAAAATTAAAAATACAATTGCCATAGATGAGATGGTTGGATGGCATCACTGACTCAATGGACATGAGTTTGGGTAAACTCTGGGAGTTGGTGATGGACAGGGAGGCCTGGCGTGCTGTGGTCCATGGAGTCACAAAGAGCTGGACATGACTGAGCGACTGAACTGAACTGAACTGAGAGGAAGACAAATACTGTATGAAACCCATACAGATTTTTGTGGAATCTTCAAAAGCCAAACTCATAGAAATAGAGATCATCTTGGTGGCTGCCAGAGTCTGGGGGTGGGGGAATGGGGAGATATTAGGCAAAAATGTGCAAACTTCCAAGTTTAAGATGAATAAGTTCTGCAGATCTAATGTATAAAATGATGACTATAGTCAATAATGCTGTATTTTATTTTTGAAAGTTACTGAGAGAGTAGATCTCAAACATTCCCACCAAGAATAAAGGGCATTTTTGTCAGATGATGGATGTGTTAACTGACTTCATTGCTGTTATCATTTCACAATATATACATTTATCAAATCATCACATTGTACAACTTAAACTTACACAATATTATATGTCAATTATATCTCAATAAAGCTGGAGAAAGAAAGGACTAATTTAATTGACTTTCATTACACTAAAACTTTCAGTGACTTCTGGTATACACTAATTGCCATACAACCCCTTCTGAAAACTGTGTAAAATAATCTCATCTAACATTAAATGTAAAATAATACTATGTTTTGATTGGACCAAAGAAATCAGAAAATATATTTTAATTGATTCACATGAAGATTTCTTTGAAGATCTTGATTTGGAGAATATTGCATAAAATAAACAGAGCAAGTTAAGAAACTGGTACTGTGAATGGAAAGCAATAATTCAAGAGTCATAATCAGAAAAAAACCTCTATTTGATTAAAATGCCAGAGGGAAGTTTCCCTTAAACTGTAATAGTAAATAGAAATGCATATAACAAAAGAAGGAAATAAAAGAAGATAAGGAATTAATTATATCATAAAGAATATTTTATTCCTAAAATGTTATTTATTTCTCATTTTAATGACTTCTAGTTTGACACAGAGATATGTTTATATGAGAGTGTTTTGTTTCTTGAATTTATATCAATTTGCAATTTTGTACCTTCTGCTATTTGCTCTTATTGTATATAATAAACAGGAGAATTCTACATATATGAATTTCTCTTTATAGAAACATGCTCTCAATAGATTATTTTTCCTCTTATTACTTAAAGCCTTTGGATTGCTTAATGGTCAATGTATGTTTTAAAAAACACCAAGTGCAAGTTTATCTTTGACCTAATATTTGATTTGCCGATTAAATGACTCACATTTAAGAACACTGGGCTTTTGTGCTTCGGTTACCTTGAATATTGAAGGTCATTCCATAGCATTTGGGACACCAAAGGTAAAGCTACAACTTTACTTGTAGCCTCTTCTCCATGGAGGTCGAAGTCCTCATGTATAAACAGGTTACTAAAAGCTGAAACTCTAATACTTTGGCCACCTCATGTGAAGAGTTGACTCATTGGAAAAGACCCTGATGCTGGGAGGGATTGAGGGCAGGAGGAGAAGGGGATGACAGAGGATGAGATGGCTGGATGGCATCACCAACTCAATGGACATGAGTTTGAGTAAACTCTGGGAGATTGTGATGGACAGGGAGGCCTGGCAC